ATCTATATCTACAGTATCTATCTTTCTTTCTATTTATATCTTTTTCTAGCTATCTTTCTATCTACAGTATCTATCTATGGTATCTATCTTTCTTCCAATCTATCTATCTATAGCTATTTTTCTTTCTTTTTTCTAGTTATCTTTCTTTTTTTTCTAGTTATCTTTCTTTTTCTTTCTAGTTACCTTTTTTATTTATATCTTTATCTATTTCTTTTTCTTTCTTTCTATCTATCTACAGTATCTTTGGTATCTTTCTTCCTTCCTTCCTATCTTTCTAGCTGTTTTTCTTTTTTCTTTCTTTCTATCTTTCTATTTATATCTTTTTCTATCTATTTTTTTTCTTTTTATCTTCTTAACTATCTATCTACAGTATCTAGCTATCTAGCTATTTTCTTTCTTTTTCTTTCTATCTTTATCTACAGTATCTATCTACGGTATCTACCTTTCTTTTTATCTATCTATCTTTTTATCTATCTACGGTATCTATCTATCTATCCATCTATCTATCTATATCTATATCATATCTGCCTGCCAGCCTACCTCTCTATGTCATCTCTCTATCTCATCCATCTAGCTATATAATTTATCATATATATATCTATATATGTCTGCCTCTGTCTAATCTATCCTCTATCTATTTACTTACCTAACTATCTATTTCATCTACCTAATCTGTCTATCGTGTCTACCATGTCTGTCTATTTATCTGACACAATTTCATAGCCATTGTGACTGTACGTTTTTACTAATTAAATTCTAATCTTAAGTAAATTGGTTCCTTTTGGGTTTTGCTTTTGAAGCAGCTGCCTAAACAGGATCTGATGTTCTTCTTTACACCTTGAGAGCTGAGATTCGGTCACTGCCCACAGGCTACCTGCAATAACAAATGTGCGTCAAGGTGCTTTTTAAAGAACTACCTTGGCAGAAGGTAGAACGGCTGGGGACCCACGCAGACCAGCTCCCCCTCCTACACCTACACCTGGACCTTGCCAGCTGCCACTAGCTGATGCCCAGCCCGAGTGAAAGCAGAACCGGTTTGCCGCAAAAGTTAAAACAAATTTTAAAAAAAATCATGGTTGTTGCTATGTCAACAGATCTTGCATCCTTGCTTGGAGAAGCTGCTGCAAACTCTGATTATGGCAAAACGTTGGATCTTCTTGTGCCTGGCAGTTGTCGTAGGGCAGAGTCAGGGCTGACTTTACTCTTGGGTATGGCGGGGCTCCCTTATGGATTGCATATTATTTTACACGGGGGGGGGGGGGGGGCGAAGACCAAAAGAAGGAGGAGGAAATAGATAATGGCAGAAAAGGAGAAGAGGAGGAGACAAGAGGAGGAGGAGGAGGAGGAGGAGGAGGAGGAGGAGGAGAAGACAAGAAGAGGAACAGGAGAAGAAGAAGGAACAGGACGAGGAGGAGGAGGAGGAGAAGAGGAGGACAAAAAGATGAAGAGGAGAAGAAGAGGAGGAAGACAAGAGGAGGAGGAGGAGAAGAGAAGGAACAGCAGGAGGTGAAGGACAAGAAGAGGAGGAAGACAAGAGGAAGAGGAGGAGGAAAAGAGGAACAGCAGGAGGAGGAGGAGGAGGAGGAGAACAAGAAGAGGAAGAGGAGGAGAAGAAGAGGAACTGCAGGAGGAGGAGGAGGAGGAGAAGAGGAACCGGAGGAGGAAGAGGAGGAGGAGGAGGACAAGAAGAGGAAGATGATGATTTTGGAACTCTAGTGAGTCTCTTACAGGGTCTCCTGCGCAAGAGGAGGGTTGGACTAGAAGACCTCCAAGATCCCTTCCAACCCTGTTAATCCCTTAAAGTTGGCAAGATTAAGAAACATCGACCCAGGGCCTAAGATTACCAAACCACCTCTCTGCTTCTGCCGTTCCCTGGTTTCTCATCGGGGCTTAAAGGCCCTGAAACTGGACCCTGTTTTAATTCGGGCAGGTGGGGGGGCTTCCGCTGATCCCCAGGCACCCCCGTTTTGGCATCCCGGGACTCTCTGCCTCCCGGGGTCTTCCCGGCAGGGTTTGGAGGGCTCCATCTGGGCTGTCCTTTTTTCTATTTTTTTTTTGTCCTTCTTTTTTTATATAACCACACAAAAGGACAGAACGATCCTGGCAGATGGCTCCCAGCGAGCCAAGATGAGTCAGGGGGGGGCTGTCGCACGGAAAGATAATTCCCACCCCAAAGCTCCCCGTTCGGCGCAGCCAAAGGGACACCCGAGCATGGAAAAGACGGAAATTGGAGGCAAATCGTGCGGGTTAAAAGCAGATTAAAACAAAGAGAAACAAACAATGGCAAACGGTGCGATGTTTTGTAATACTGATCTCAACCACGTGGGGGAACTTGCTTCCTTTTTACCGAGATAACCGATAGCAAGTCGACGCATTTCTGTTCGTTTCGTTTGTCTGCGTAAGTTTCTAGTCCCTTGCCATTACACAGTTTTAACACAGATTCCAATTTAGGCAAACGATTATTCAAGGCAGGAACACAAATAAAGAGAACCAGTAGCGGGAGGGCACGGTGGTTGCAGAACTGATATTTATCCCTCTGTTTCAAAAAAAGAACAGAATAACACAGTTGGAAGAGATCCTGGAGGTCATCTAGTCCCACCCCCTGCCCAAGGAGGAGACCTTACACCATTTCTGACAGATAGCAGTCCAGTCTCTTCTTGGAAGCTTCCAGGGATGAAGCACCCACAACTTCTGAAGGCAATTTCTGTTCCATTAAATATAGAATAATAGATTTGTAAGGGACCTTGTAGGTCATCTAGTCCAACCCCCTGCCCAAGCAGGAGACCTTACACCATTTCTGACAGATGGTAGTCCAGTCTCTTCTTGGAAGCTTCCAGGGATGAAGCTCCCACAACTTCCGAAGGCAACTTCTGTTCCATTGAATATAGAACAACAGATTTGGAAGGGACCTTGTAGGTCATCTAGTCCAACCCCCTGCCCAAGCAGATAACCCTGCACCATTTCTAACAGATGGCAGTCCAGTCTCTTCTTGAAAGCCTCCAGGGATGAATCTTGTGAAGGCAACTTCTGTTCCATGCGTTGATTGCTCTCACTGTCAGGAAATACCTATTTATTTCTAGGTTGAATCGATCAATCAGAATACAGTTGGAAGGGTCTAATGATGATATAATCATAATATAACATGGTATGGAAAGTTGATTAACATAATATGAGTATAAATTTAAATCGAAGGGCACCCTTTCCGCTCTTTCCCCTCCATGCCTCTCCCCGCTCTGGGATGCGTTCACATGTGCAGCTGCGCTATCAACCAAGAACCCGGGTTAAGTCACATGAATTAAAAACAATAATAAGACCCCGGCTGGAATCGTGTGCAGCTGCTCTATCAACCAGGAACCCGGGTTAAGTCACATGAATTAAAAATAATAATAAGACCCTGGCTGGAATCGTGTGTCCAGTTTTTTGGGTGACCGCAAAGATATTGCGACTTTGGGGGAAAGTGCAGAGAAGAGCAACTGGGAGGATTAAAGGCCTGGAGGAAAAAAGGATAATAAAGAGCAGTTGCAGGATTTCAGTTTGGCCGGTCTAGAGAAAAGAAGGACTAGGAGGGACACGAGGGGAGTGTTCCGATATTTGGGGGGGCAGCCCCAAAGGGGAGGGGGTCCGCTTATTCTGCAAAGCACCCGAAGGCAGGATAAGAAACAATGGATGGAAACTAAGCCAGGAGAGAAGCAACTTGGAATTAAGGAGAAGCTTTCTAACAGTGAGAACAGTTAGCCAGTGGAACTGCTTGCCACCAGAAGTTGTGGACGTTCCATCACTGGAGGTTTTTAAGAAGAGACGGGACAGCCACCTGTCTGAAATGGTATAGATTCTCCTGCTTGAGCAGGGGGCTGGACTAGAAGACCTCCAAGGCTTTTAAGAAGAGATTGAACCCTCATTTGTTTGAATTGATTTGAATGTTTTAATTTGTTTTAATTTGTTTTACATTGTTATTTGTATATGTCTTTTGGTGTTGTTCAGTTGTATGTTGTGGAAGAGCACCTTATTTCGTTGTTCTCAGGTTTCTGAGTACAATAAATTTATCCTTTATCCTTTGATCTAGGGTCTCCTTCTTGAGCATGGGGTTGGACTATAAGACCTCTACGGTTCCTTCCAGCTCTATTCCGATTCATTGATTCCATCTCCTTGGAAACTGGAAGGCATTTTTAAATGGAGACTCAAACTTATCCTCCAAAGCACCAGAAGGACAGACAAGAAACAGTGGATGAAAACTAATCAAGGAGAAAAGCAACTTGGAATGAAGGAGAAGCTTTCCTAACAGTGAGGACCATTAACCAGTGGAACACCTTGCCACCAGAAGTTGTGGGTCTGTTGGGTGGGTGCTTGTGTGCTTTAGGGGGCAGGGAATTTTGGCGGGTGGGAGGGTGTTTGGAGATTGTCATGGGTATGTGCGTGCGTGTAGGGTCTGGTCTCTGGGTGTTATGTGAATTTCGTTATATGTGTATACTGTGTATATATGTACAATGACAATATATTATTATTATTGTTGTTGTCGTACACAAAAATGACAGTATACAAAGCAGATGAGATAACTATGCTGGGTTTCGTATCACAAATCATTATTTGAACCCTTCCCAAGCATTTAGGACTGCATGATGTATCGGCGGATTACGCAAGCAGATCCCAGGAAGGTTCTGCAGCTGACCAATGGTGATCTGGTCAGCGCCTAGGTCTTTAGGCACAGCACCCAGTGCGCCCAGTACCATTGGAACCACCTGCACTGGTTTATGCCAGAGTCTCTGCAATTCGATTCTCAAGTCCCGATATGTGGTGATTGTTTGAAGTTGTTTCTCATTGATTCTGCTTTCACCAGGTATGGCAATGTCCACGATCCACACTTTTTTCTTCTCCACAAATAAGAATAAGAATAAGAATAATCATCATCATCATCACTGGAAGTTTTCAAGAAGAGACTGGACTGCCATTTGTCAGAAATGGTGTAGGGTCTTGTTTGGTGTGGAGGGGGGGTTGGACTAGATGACCTATAAGGTCCCTTCCAACTCTGATTATGTGTTATCTGTGACCATCATCATCACTGGAGGTTTTCAAGAAGAGACTGGAGGGTCGCTTGTCTGAAACGGTTTAGGGTCTCCTGCTTGAGGGGGGGGTTTGGACTAGATGACCTTCAAGGTCCCTTCCCACTCCGTTATTCTATAAACTCGATAAAACCGTACACCAAGACACACACACACACACACCCATCGCTCTCCTGCCCCCGCCAAAGGGGATTCTCCACCCTCAAGCCCATCCTGCCCGTCCCTGACGACGGGCGCATCCCGGGGAGACGCCGGTTCGAATCCTGCCACGTCTCAACGCCGTGGTGGTGGTGGGGGCGTGTGTGTGGGTGGAGGGAGGGATGCTTCGGTTGAAAGGCCGGTCCCGCTGTGTGTGTATGTGTGACGCGGGGGGGAGGGGAGGGCGAGCCAGAACTACAACGCCCATGATGCTCTCCGGGACTAGGCTCCCGCCTGCCCGCTAGCGGCGGCCGCGGGAACGCGCGCTCCCAGCCCGCCGAGGATCCAGGTAGCGACGGAGGTGCCAGCCGGCTGTCTTCGGCTGCCGCAGAGCTCCCCGAGAGCCAGGCGGAGGAAGGAAGCGCAGCTGGCTGGAAGGCCGGGCCCGTTGGCCGGGGAGGAGCTGTGGGTGTCCTTCCGAAGAAAGGGGCTCAGGGGAGGCGCGGACTTGACACCCCCCTCCGCCCGCCCGCCCCTCCGATGAGCATCCCGGAGGCTCCTTGAGGCCATCCATCCGCAGAGGCGACCCCGCCACCTCCACCCCTCCAGCACCAGCACCAGCAGCGCCGCCATCATCATGGGCAACCGGGGCATGGAAGACCTCATCCCCTTGGTCAACCGCCTCCAGGATGCCTTCTCCGCCATCGGCCAGAACGCCAACCTCGACCTGCCCCAGATCGCCGTGGTCGGGGGCCAGAGCGCCGGCAAGAGCTCCGTGCTGGAGAATTTCGTGGGGAGGTAAATTGCGGCGGGCGGTGGGGGGGGCGGCGGTGTGGGGGGGGCACGGTCGGTTTTGCGAGGGGAGCAAGGGAGGTGCGGGGGGGGTGTCTCTCGGCTTGCAGGAAAGCCCCCTCCCCTCTCCCTTTCCCGTCTTATGGCTTGGTGCTTGTTTGGGGGTGGGGAGAGAGAGAGAGAGAGAGAGAGAGAGAGAGAGGAGAAAGGCGGAAAAAAAATGAGAGAGGGTGGAGAAGAAAGAGAAAGAGAGGGGGGGTGAGAGAGAGGAGAGGGAGAGAGGAAGGAGAGAGAGAGGAAGAGGAGAGGGAGAGGAAGAAGGAGAGCGAGAGAGAGAGAGGAAGGAGAGAGAGGGAGAGAAAGAAAGAAGAGAGGGAGAGAAAGAAGGAGAGAGAGAGAGAGAGAGGAAGGAGAGAGAGAAGGGAGAGGGAGAGAAAGGAGAGAGAGAGATGAAGGAGAGAGAGAGAAAGAGGAAAAGGAGAGAAAGAAGGAGAGAGAGAGAAAGAGGAGAGAGAGAGATGAAGGAGAGAGAGAGATGAAGGAGAGAGGAAGGAGAGAGAGAGAAAGAGGAGAGAGAGAGGAAGGAGAGAGAGAGAGAGGAGAGGGAGATAAAGAGAAGGAGAGAGAGAGAGGGGAGAGAGAGAGAAAGAGGAGGGGGAGAGAAAGAAGGAGAGAGAGAGAGAGGAAGGAGAGAGAGAAAAACCCTCGGGGAATGCGCCTTTCGAGTCAGGAGGCTTAATGGCTGATTCTCCCTTCCCCCCTCCCCGGGAAAAAACCTCCCCCCCTCCCCGAGATGCTATGCAAAGAGGCGCATCGGGAGGGGCCGTTCTCCTTTCCTCCCCCCACCCCAGCGCGCCCCGGCCAGGATTCCATCTTTTCCCCCCGCCCTCCGATTGACACATTGCAGATGCTTGCAGGGGGAGGGGAGCGCAGGGGGGTGGGGGGAGGGAAGCGCTTGATTGACAGCTGACGTTCTCCCCTCGACCCGACAACCCATCACCCCCCCCCACCCCACCCCCCCGCCTTCCCTTCCGATGCCTAAAATGTATAATTCAATATACGGCTAGACGGAGGTTATGTTATGGATCGGTGCAGGCGAAAGGCGCGCGAGATGATGAAATGCGCAGGCTAAGCTTGGATTTGCGCGGCCGGGGACAAACCGGGGGCTTCATCGGGGCATCTTTCGGGCAGTGGGCAAGGCGAGGACGGGGGGGGGGGGGGGGCCTCAGCCGTGCTCACCATTCCTCTCGTCCTCTTTTTTTTTTTCTCTCCCCCTCTCTCTCTCTCTCCTTCGGAGGGCCTTTGCCGGGCACGCGCGCGGAGAGGGAGAGAGAGAAACACACGAACGCACGCGCGCGCGCACACACACACGAACGCGTTTGGCGCAAGAGGGTTAACCGTCCTAATCCTTAATGCTTGATCTCTCTGCAGCGGTGGAGGGGGGGGGGGCAGGCTGCCCACGCTGGAGCTGCAGGAAAACCTGTTTTCTGTCTTTTTCTCCTTCCTTCCTTCCTTCCTTCCTTCCTTCCTTCCTTCCTTCCTTCCCAGAATATTTTCCATCTCTTCCTTCCTTCTCTCTTTTTCCTCTCCTTTCTCTCCTTCC